GAGGACAAGAGGGTTAGGAGGGTCCTGCTTGTAAGAGCCTAAAAGGGGTAATGCAGGCAGATAATGGCTGGCAGGAGGGCTTGGCAAGATGGTGTACATAGCTTCCTGAAATCACCAGCTCCTTGAAGGCAGGGACTGATGTAAATGTGCAGTATGTAAAGCACTGTGTTTATTCTTGGCACCATATAAATACCTGAAATAAATAAATTAATAGATAAATCTCAGCACCCTGCCATAGTACCCCTCTCACGGGTCATCAGCTCTGATGAAAGCAGAGGGCTGGATTTCAAATTAAGTTATGCAAATATCAAAATGCTTAGATGGTGTAGAGGAGTGGGCATTCCTAGGCAGGTTGCATTTTCCTGCACACTGCCCTAGATAATACTCACATATGATGCTGAGCCTCCATGATTAAAAGAAACTGAAATCCAATGAATGAAAGGAGTGGGTCAGGGATGGACAGGCCGGAGAGGAAAAGGCTAGATGATGCTGGATGTCCTCCAGCTTCTAATGCACATTGAGGGAAACTCACGGTGTTCAGTGAAATCAAACTAAACCATTTCAGTAGAAGAGAGGAACCTGTACAACTGTGCAAGACTGAAAGTAATGCTCAGCTTTAATTAATACTTTTTCACATGACTTTCACATTATTTTCATGTATTAGATATAGAGATTTATAGATTAGCCACTAGAATGAGCTCACAGTGGCTCAGTGCAATTGCACTCTCTTTTACCAAACTTTGATTGTTTTTCGTGAGCTGGCAGACTCATGTATATGCATTATGAGAAAGAGCAATGAAGAAAAACTCATCCTGAGAGAAATATGACAGAAAATATAGCTGACCCCTCATTTTTACAATGCTAATAATATGACTGTCGTGCTAATCTAATGGCTTTAATATTTCCGAGGCCACTGTCCCCAGAACTGGCTCTATACACGTTCCAGCTCAGCAAAATGTATGTAAAGCCAAACCTCTTTTAGGTTTTAGATTGAGTAGGGAATAGTTTCACCAGCTGTCATCAGAACAGGAGTTCCTATGGGGAGATCTGCCTCACCCTCTGTTCAGTGACAATTGAAAAATGTTTGATTTTCTTTTAAAACTAAAAATATGGTTTTCATAAACAGATGCACTAACATTATGTGACATAAAAAAACTGCTGCCATTTTGTTCTACAGGGTCTCTGCTTTCAGAAAATATATAATGTTGGGGAGGGGTTTAGGTAATCTTCAAATCTGTGCAGAAATGAAAGAAATAATAAAATAATACCTCTGACAGTGAAAGGGTTAAAATAAGGTTCCAGCTGGACTTTGAAATATTTAAGTGGAACATAAGTAAGCTGCATGGGGGGTGGCTCGTCATAATGTGCGCAGCATACTTACACATTATGGCACACTTCCCTACTAGTGTGCCATCCTCCAGTATGGCAAAGTCCAGGCTCAATTTTGCTGCTCCACCGCTCATGTGTGCCATTTTCTCATCCGATTCTGCCAGGTCCCACAGAGCTCCTCTTTGCCCACTAGGTGACATCTAATAATGTAACTCCTAACAATGCACACAGAAGTTACATCATCCCTGGCACCAAGCTTCATTCCCAGTATCTCACAGATGCTAGGGATAAGCTGTGAGTGTACATTGTACTGTGCAGTGTACACACAATTAAAAGAGTGCTAGGAGCAAGAGAAAATACTTTGTATGTCTATTCTGCTAAAAAAAACTCTACCTTCTAGTAACTTTGTACTTGTAGATTTCAGTTCTACTTTAACATATACTATTAAAATTATTTACATAAACCTGATCCCTTTTGGATGATTAATCCCCACCCTTAACAAAGAAGACGTTCCTGTAGTTTCTCTGCATTAGGTGTATGCCTAACAGAAAACACCAGTGGAGATTTTGGTGTGACACCCTGCAGGAAATGCCATACCTTGCACAAGTCCTGCAATACGCAGGACTGTCCCAGGAATTCAACCAAATCCCAGTGTCCCGCAGATCTAGGTTGTGCCCCGCAGCCAGTACTGGAATGCTCATTATACACCCTTGGCTCCTTTGCTGCTCTGTTGGGCAGAATGATCTCCTACTTGACATGAGCACTATAGTTCTGACAGAGGGAAGTAATGTCACAAGATGCAGAGCATGAATAGGTAAGTAATCCACTGAACACCAATGACTCCCACTGACACCCCCCACCCATCCCCCTTTTCCCTCACAGGGCACCAGTGCTCCCCTCTTCCCCCTCAGAGTACCAAGTTCCCCAATTTCTCCCCCCACAGAACACAAATGTCCCTCCTTTCCCACCTACTGAGCACCAATGCCCGCCCGCCCGCTCCTCTCAACGCCCAATGAACGCCAGTGCCCCCACAATGCCAAATGTGGTGTATTTTGCCTCTCATTGACCATCATTGCTGAGCATTTCTTCCTCCCACTGACCACCAATAAGCAGGTAATTATTCTCCCCAAGAACACTGATTTCTGGTATTTTTCCTCCCCCTGACCATCAAAACGACATTTTTCCTCCCCCTGCCCACTGACGCAAGACAGAGTGAAAAAGAGAAAAAGTGCTGCACACAGTAGCCAAACAAATGCAGGCTGTAATGTTAAGCATGAGTGAACCATGCAAAGTTCGATTCGCAGTAAAGTTGACCTCAGCATAAATCTGCCAAACCAAACATAGCCCTGAACCTGATTGTAATCTATAGGTGATGAATCTGGGCAAGCTTTTGTTAAAAAAGGGCATGGGTGGCTAAGCGCTTACACAGGGGGACTTTTCTTGTAAACAATAAGTAGACCCCAAAACGTGAGGTCTCCCTGATTTAAAAAAATAACTTTGTTGAGACATGCAGCCTTGGTAGCCAGGAATGGAAGGGGCAGAAAGCGTGCACCCCACCTCCAGAACCATACAAGGCCACATGTCCTCAACATTGTGAGGGTACCTTGAAAGGCACCTAGTCTCCATGTTGATGAGTACAAGGGCCTCACCCCCACATCCTGTACCCCAACAGTAATCTCGGGGTCTGCGTGGGGGGGGGGGGCCTATCGGGATCTCGAAACCCTTTTGAGAATAAGTGGGCCCCCAAATATTCAGCTTCTTCTACCTGAGTACAGAGTATGTAGTACCCTCACTCATACATCATTTCAAAAATAAACAATGTCCCCCGAAGTAAATCCAATGACAATCACATTGTCCAGTGATATAGATCCATATCAATTGAGATTAGTGAAACCCCATAATGTTGACCCACCGCTATGATAATCCACCGACACAGCAATGCTGCTTCCCCAGCAACTCCCATTGCCAATGAGAGCTCCTTTTTGCTACTGCATTCTGACCATATTTGGCTCCCCAGTGCTGTTGTTCACATTCCAGGAATACTGGGGATCTGGCATTTGTATGTTCTAGTGATACCACTGCTAAATGACAGACTTCTAACTAAAACAGCCAGAGGTTCAGGTGGGCTGGCAAACTGGTGGCCAGGTCGCTTGCCAAACTACAAATAGTCTGACCTCATGTGCAACCTGAACCTGTAGCTCAGCCCAGTCATTTTACAATTTGGCAAAAAAAAGCAGGAACCTTACTAAATATTTAGAACTTTTTTTTTTTAATCTCTGGGCCTCAAGTACAAGGTCATGTTCTCAGGTTTCCCTTGGTGGGGACAATTACAATGGTAATTACAGAACAGGTGTAATATAGAGTAAATCCCACTTAATGTAACCTTATGGTGGTACATTACAGTTGAGGAACAGTGCCTAAAACTACTTTCATTTCTGCTCCTCAAGTACTAATACAACAACCAGGCATTCTCCAGCCTGAAAATCTTTCAGTCTTTTTGAAAATTGTCTTCTATAATAATCATGAGCAAGGAGAGTGATTCCACTAATAAAGAAAATGTTTCACATATTCAGTAGCGGGAAATATTAAGCCCCTTGCTGTTTGGTAAGTGAAATTCTAATTGCATTTTGTATTATTTAGAGAGCAAGCTCAGTCTGGTGACTCACTGCACTGTCCCATTTATAGAGTTATAATTCTGGGCTTTGCGAGATGTACGCTTTGAACATTCTGGATGAGGCTGATAGAGAAGGTGAGTCATCATACTAGCCCTATAAAGACATCCTCAAGTACATTGCAGCAGAAAAGTTTACAAAGATTTTTTTTATCTAACTGCATCTTCATTGCACATTAATCCTGATTAATTTTGGTAGTTGATTTATGTATCATTGATTGTTTCCCTACTACATTCCCATTGCAAAATTTATTATACTTGGCTTACCATTGCTCATTTCATGCTCATGTACTTTGCACATCAAGGGGGCACTTGCACATGAATTATTTCCATTATGTTATACATTAGCTTATATTTTATAGGGTGCAACCATATGGGTAATAATACGATAGAGATCATTGTTTGTGAACGCATATTTCAATTTAGTTTATGTAGCTTCTGTTTTGCAGAGATTAGCAATTATGTCCTATATCATATATACAAATTGGACCTGATAGCGGTATATGATTAATTATTATATAGGAAGACAACTATATATTGTGTGCTGTAAACCATGTGTTTCAAAGCAGCTTACGGACCAAAGAAATCAGAGGTCTGTGGTATTTACTATCTTGAAGCGTAACATAGCATTATTATTCCTATTATTATTATCTTAATTAAGGAGAGGAAGAAAAGATAATAAGAACAGAAAGGAGGGAGGGAATAAAGAAAAGTAAAGAAAGAAAGAAGGGAACAAAGGGAAGAGAAGAAAAAGAGAATGAATAGAGAGAAGGAAGGAAGACAATAAAGAAATGGAGAAGAGAAGAAGAAAAGGAATTGAATGAAGGAAGAAAGGAAAGAACAGAAGAAACAGAAGGAAAGAGGAGAAATAAGGAAGTAAGCAAGAAAATGAAGCAAGGAAAGGAAGGAAATGATGAAAGGGTGTAAGAGAGGAAGATGGGAAAGAAGGAACAATAGAGAAGAGGAGAATGCACAATGTTAAGCATCTGCAGAATGTTACCTGCTGTCTGTCTAGTCTCATCCTCTTTGCGGCATTCCTGCTTTCACTTTCACAAGCGGAGGCCAAAATACTTTCTGCTACAGCGGAGGTGAGGTGTGAAGGTATAGGCCGAGACTGTAAAAGAACACAACATATATAACAAGGATTAATGAGCCGCTCACAGAAAAGCACTGTACACTGTGTTAAGGATACCAAAATGTTATTTTACAGTGCACATAAACACAACAACAACTGAAAGGGGAAAAATGAAACAGATGGTAAAAATGAAGACTAGAAACAAGACAGTCGTTCACTTGACATATGAAACAGTGACATTCTGGGTTTAGTCTATAGAAAGTGATTGGAATTCTTAAGGCATAGAGTGTCTTTGGCCTTAGGTTACAGTGTTCGTTGTCTTCTCTGCGCAGAAAATAATCATGAAAAGAAAACACTGTACTAATTCAATCTATGACTGGTTCTAAACATGGAAAAGAACACAGGCCTTTACTTCAAATGGTAAGGTCTCCATTTGAATTGATATGTTATCTGAAGTAATACTGTTGAAGACTTTGCTGAGCAAAAATGCAGCAACTACACCTATTTATCCCACATCTACTTAGGGATGTTCACACAAGAGATTTTTATGTCAATGATTTTGAGAATCACAGGGCTTTATAATCCTGACCGAGCCGGTGACTGCAGCATCTTCCGATGAAGGTGAAATGAATGAAATCTCTGGCATCAAATTCTCATGTGATCTTGCCCAGTGAGAACATCTTTGACTCTATCATTTGAGTGAGCTCCATACAGGTTTTGTGGAGATCACAAGATCAAAATGCTATAATAAACAGAGAAATATTTGTAAATCTCTTGTGACCCTGCTATCATACATTTTCATGTTATACAATTTTCAACAGTTTTATCAGCCCCGTTCCAATGAATTTTCTGACCTAGTGCTCATAGCACAACTACACAAACACTCACACATGCTCTTTAGGTCCTGCTTGGTCCAAAACCTGATAATTTGCTAGTGCCATAAAAACTCTGCCAATGTACTACAATGGCAAATGGTTGAATCTAACTGCCTTTTCATCATGATTTTTTAATTAACATTTTAATTTTGAAAGGCCTCCAAATGTTATTGAATGTCAATTGACTACTAGATTTCAGTATACCACTATACTATTTCTGGACACCCAGAAAGTGTCCTCTTATTTTTTAATAAATACAAATTAAATCAGAACGTGCAGAGCATTAAGGCCTCTAGTGGAACAATACTTATCTCAGGCCTCCCAAATATATTTAGAGCGATCATCCCATTAAGTAACTGTTTCAGTTAGTAATGATTTACATTAGCACTATTCTCATTTTCAAAACTCCAATGACTGATTCTTCCAGGGTCATGTGTGGCTATGTGCTATTACATAAAATATATTAACAGGATAGTGATATACACATATTAAATGTATCACTCCAGGGGAAAATTACTGGGTGAAAAATGTATCGGAGACATAATGAGTGTCAATATGAAAAGGTGTTGGGTGATATTGGCCTTTCAGTAATCTTTGCAAAATCCCCTTGCTGAAACATTAGGACGAGAAATATTTAGCAACAGACAATTACAGGTCAACTCTAGTCAAATAATACACTGCCAGAGGATAACCACAAGTCCTGTAACTCTGAAAATGTACAAGACAGCACACAGCTAAGTGTCTCTCATATCTAAAACATGTACATATTATGTTGTTAAATCCAATCTAACATTTCTAATGTTCTGTAAATAGTATTAGAAATACTATAGTGGTTTCAGATCGTACCTCAATATAAAGTATTTATAAACTGGTCTATAAAGAGGTGTATGCAGATCTTAATCTAACCTTGTGGTGTGGTCATTCTAGTCTGGAAAAGGCTGCATCTGACTTGTAATTTGTATTAATATATGCTCCACAGACCACCATATCTATAATCCATTGCTCTAATTCCACCACTATTTATAAACTGGATAGATTTGGTTACAGACACAGAACCCTTCACAAGACAAAAGTTGAAAGGAAGGCTGATAGTGTTCCTTTTGCTCCTAAAACTGGTAGACCAGTTTAATAAACAATCATTCCACTGCTAAGGTACTGTAAACATTAGGGCCTGTGTGGATGGGCTTTAGACTTGTGTCAATTAAATCAGTGTGACACAAGTGTGCAACAGATTTGAGATGCTTCTGAGGTCAATCAAAATTCAATGACAGGTACATGTGACCTGAGGTTGGCCCCCTTGTGACCTGTATTTGACATGGTTTAAGCGGGGTTTACATTCCCATTGGGTTGTATAGGTATGCAAAAGTCTCTTGACAAGAGCAAAAAGCCTGTCAACTAAGGTCCTTATTATAGCATACTGTTTGGCGCAGGTATAACTAACTTACTAACTGTCAAGGTGGCAATCTTAAAAGCATTTGAAAACAAAAGTATCTTGAGACATTCTCCTAAAATTCAAAGAAAAATAAGTACATTCTACTTGGATATTGCCTTAAATGCCAATATTAGTGAATTCCTTAAAAACATCAATAGTGAGCCTTATATCTGGATAGGGCCCCACCCACAGGTTCTCAAAAGTCATTCTTCAGAGATTTAGCATATATGTCTGACAAAGAACTATTGATATTACCACTGCTAGGCACATTCCTAGTTTCATGCTGAACAATACAAATGGGAATGAGGTTGATTTGCTGAAAATCTTTTCAATTTTTCTTTACATACAGTTTTTGTTAGCATATGCATAGCACCCACTTCCATCCCCACCGCCTTAAAAAACACAAACACCTGGTAGATGGATTGCTATCCCCATAGCAAAAGTGCTAAAAGCATAAGGGGCCCTGATATGTATGCCACCTGCAGCAATGGGTCGGTGCTTCTAGAAGATAGTCCAGGCTCAAGGCAAGGATTATGTACATCATACACCCCTGCTCTAACCAACAGGTCAAGAGTTGTCTATGACCTCTTAACTGTTCACCACAATGTTTGGCAATAATTACTAGATGAAGAGTTTCTTTAAATACATGAAATAATAAGGACTGCTGCATCTACCAATGAATATGTCTTTTCAATGGCAATTTTAAATGTCAAATCTCTGCAAAAAAAGACAGGTTCTACCCCCTTTGTAACGAATTGATGAATAGGAGCCATTTTATTTTTTTGATTGCCACCGCCTGTGATTTGACACTAAAGTAGCAACAGCAGTTCACCCCTCTGTCACTGTGCTCTCCCCTCCTCTCAGCATGTGGATGCAGCATACAGAGTTGGCTCCTAGTGTTGCCCCACGCTCTCCCATCTGAGTGTTTCTATACAGGGAATTAGAAGATGCTCATATCAACTTAAATCCAGGTCAGTTTTAAGATAGTATCGGCATGTTGAAATTCTCAGTATAAAAACACTCAGATGGAACAGGGATGGGCAGCACTAAGAGCTTTTAATTAATGTGTGGGTTTTTTAATATCTGTCTTGAATTTAGTTTTAATATTTAATTTTGTTTATAGTATTTTGTCTTAACTCTAAGGCCCCATTCACAATTACGAATGGGGCTGGATCACTGAGTCTTATGAATTCCTTCTGCTGCAATTACCTGCTGACGACCGCATCTGGATGCATCCAGGTGAGATCGCTCACAGATAATCGCAGCATATGCAATTACATGCGATTGGCCTGCGAACAGCTGGGTGTCGCAGCTGTCATTGTATCATGCAGCACCTCCAGCCGATTGCATGATTCTCTAAGAGGAATTCACTCAACGATCCAGCCCCATTTGCAAGTGTGAATGGGGCCTTAACTTGTTCTGCTGTTAACCCCCTCTCTTACCTCTTCATGGGATAGGGGTAGTATCTTACTGCATTAATCCACGATCCCAACTCCAGCTATATGAAACACTGATGGTGCAGAAAAACATGGTGCCCATCAGTACTGGGTTGGTATAAAAAGACTTATTTTCTAGACAAAAACCAGCGGCATGTTTTGAATCTTGACTGTTCCAGGTGAAAACGCGCTAGTTGCTTGCACCTAGGAAGCAGATGCAGTCAGAAGCCGGGATCAGAATGTGTTTTGCATTGTTTGGATCGACTGATGGTGCAGAAACACATGGTACCCATCAGACTGGGTTGGTATTTTGAAAGGTAGGGCTCTCTTGCTATGGGGATAACCATATGCCTGGCATACTGAGTTGGAATCATCTTGGAGAGGAGAGCGAGTTTTTTTAATCTTTATAAAAATTAGCAGGCTACCAGTAGTTGATTTAGAATTATTGCTTCATATGTAGTACCTATGGACATCATGTGTAGTTCCTATGGACATCATGTGTAGTTCCTATGGGCAACATGTATAGTTCCTATGGACATCATCTGTAGTTTCTATGGACAAAGCAGATTGTTTCTGCAATCCTTTCAATCATGAGGTTAGTTCCTCCTACTCATTAATGCACACTACTATGCCATACTAGGTATACGTTTCCCCTGCCCCACACACAGTCCTTTGTGTGCCTTTTGCCTTGCAGACTTCTCTATATCTAGCACCCCTCCCCAAGTTTCTCTTATCCTGCCAATGTCATGATAAATTCTCCTAGTCAGAAGTGGTAACTAGGCAACACAATTAATAGTGTGAAGGGGCCACCTTGTTGGCATAGCGATACAGTCTATAAGAATGTTCTCTATGATGAATTGTACTATCTGCAGCATGAAGTATGTATATTGCTGGCTACACATGTCATATAATTGCCAAGGCACAGCATTTGCTTTTGTTATATGGTCTTTACACACATGAAATAGGTAGGACTGCTGTACAGTATATACCCAGTAATATATTCCTTCAAATATTTATCTCCTTGACGCTGCTTATACCAATTCACTTTGATGCAAGATTAGAGCTCTGCCCTTGAATGATCACTACAATTAGTATATTTGAAAATCTCTGCAGCCCAAGCCACAGACATTTGAATGTGAATGCTCATTAGTGCTTTTCCCTAAATCTATCATTTATATTCATAGTGCTCATTTTCAGTTATTATTGTAAAATGTATTGACTTTATTTTTCTAAATATTTATATTTCTACTTTGTTGAGTCATACTTTCATAATGAGTTTTTTTTTATAAACAAATA